CCTAATTTAAATTATAGCTGCATTCTTATAGTAAAATAGCATCATCTAATTGTACATTATTGTTTATATCCATGTTCATGTGACATCCATAGCATGAGCGAATCTCATGAAACCTGTCAAGAACATGCCTGGGTCATATTTCACCCCAAAATCAAAAGAAATAAGAAAATGTGCTTAAATTAAATGATGCCTATTATTAGAAATATTCACATAATTAGCATCAAGGTTATTATATATATAAAAAATTATTTTATGACATTATTATTTGTTGTCTATTTGGCTTTCATTTATGCTGATTTAATTAAAAAAAGTATATAGTAATTTACTATAATAATAATGAGAATTTTAAAAGAAAACAAAATGTTAATGAAAAATGTTATTTTTATGAATATATATATACATTTTTTTTTTTTTGGCGTAGTATGTGACCCGGACATATTTTTGTGAGATTCACCTGAGAACATAATTTGCAAAATAGCTTCTCACTCAGAAACACTGAATATAGATTTTATGTTGACGGTGGCTTTACATAATAAAGTAGTACATAGATATATTATATTCACAGGAATACATTTCTTACACAGATGAAAGAAAGAGCAAAAAGGCTGTAGCAGGGGGAGAGGACTAGCATTTCACATAAGTCAAAAAAAGAGACACAAGCCCCTCAATAAATCTTTACACCTTGAAAACAAATGCAAAAACACCACAATGAGCAAAAAGAAAAAGCTTCAGTGCTAAAGTGAGTGTAGATCTGCAACCCAAGCTAAATAAAGAGCCGAGAGAACACATTCACTTCTTTAATATCTATTATGGGCCTGTTTAGTGTGACTACCCATAATGCACTGGCTGCTGGAAAACACGGACAGCAGTATGTAGAGAAGTGAGGGAGTTTTTTACTCCTTGCAGTCGGGCGCAGGCTAACCGAACGCGGCGTATCTTGGTTCTCGCGTTATGCACTTCCTTTGTCCGCCGCAGAGCTTAAAGCATCTGCCACTCAAAGGGGAACATGACGTTGAGGAGCTCCAGACTGCGGGCGATTTCCTCCAGGATGCAATGCTGCTGCCACATATGAAGCAACTTGCGGTAGCGCTCTGGACACAAGTGCAGCGGGTTCCCACG